GTAGTCATACATAAGCCCACGAATGCGCATGAATGTTTTATACATTTGTGCACAGAAGCAGTGTAAGTTGAGCAAGCACAGACTGTTTAAAATGCTCACATCTCTTCGCCAATGCCAGCGGGAGGCGTCCATGTTGCAGATGGACGTGGGAAGCCTTTCTGAGGGCTACCTGGGAGCTGGCTCCAGGCAGGCGACGTGTCCAAGGTGAGGAGAAAGAACTGTACAGAGGTAGCCGTGTGTTGATTTGGGGCGGAATGGGCAGGTGCTGGCACAGTCTGATGCAGGCCCTTCTCATGAGGGAAAGGTGAGAGATGGGGTAAACAGAGGCTGGGACAGGTGCTGACCGGCTCCTCAGCCGAGGTGAGAGAGGCAAGAGGGGATGAGCCCTCAATGAAACTCAGCAGTGGCCAGGGCTTCCTGAGCTGCCACTTGGCTGTCATCCCAGCTGAGGCAGGAGGATTACAGGGCATCCTCAGCTATTCAGCAAATTCTAAGCTGGCCTGGGTTACAGGAGACCGTGTCTAAACAAACAAACCCCTAAATATGTAAATAGCTTTAAGAACAGCTCTGAGGCCGTCTAATGACGGCCCAGGACTAGGCCAGCCATAGGAAGCTGAGTGAGGGCTACAGCAATGGAAGATGGGAGAACAGACGGAGGTTCCTTCCTCTAATTTCAGAAGGGGCCTGAGGACTGAGGGGGGCACCAGGAGATGCTGAGAGGTAGACACCCTTGGCACAGGGTACACTCTGTTTGGTGAAAGAATCCCTTAATCGTGCAAAGCTTCTGGGGGTATCCTGGTTTTGCGGAACAGAAGCTTTATCAAGTTCAGGAGCCCTCTTAGGAGAAAATGTAGTACTTTAGTAGGTTAAAAGGTCAGCTTACCTTTAGAGTCGGAGAAATTACAACAATTACACATAACAAAGCCAAAAATGAGAAATCTAGAAATGACATCATAATTTTCTTATAATTGTTAATTAGCTACTGTACACAAGACTACTTCCCTACATTTTCTCTCTATATCTTCCTTATTTAAAAAGTGAGTAAGTTCTGGAACATAAAAGTTTGCCGTTCCAAAGTGTGTAGTCCAATGGGTTTAACATGCTCACCGTGCCCTGCCGACACTATCCTTCACAGGACACTTCCGCCACCTCACAGGAAGGCCCGCCTCCAGGTGCTAGCAAGAGGACTCAGAGGGAGTGGGGCTTGCTGCTGGGCCTGCCAATTCCACATTTGGGTTCCCACATGGTATTAGGAGGAAACACCCTCAGCATGAGCAGGGATGCACATCCACACAGGCATATGAGGGAAATCAACAACTGCAGAACTACATGGGAAAGCTTGCCAGTCACAAGTCTCCTGCCTTGACCCCAAGGCCACTAATCTATTTTCGAATTTGAAGAATTTCTTATTCTGAACGTTTTATGCGAATTGTATTATGTGATATGTGGTCATTGGTGTCTGGGTTTTTCATGTTTCCCGCATAGCCGATTGTTTTCAAGGCTAACCAGCGGCACGGCTTGTTAACAGTATACTCCATTTTGTTTTTAAAATGTCTTGGGGTGAAGGTCACGGAAGATAATATCGCCTAAAGTGACCAGCATCTCTCTTCACTTCTGGTCGATGCTTCTGTGTTTATTTTTCTGTCTCCCCGAAATGAAACCCCACATCCACTCCACAGTCATTCCCAATTTCCCTCACCGACACCTCGTCACCGCCCATCTTCTCCCTGTCAGTGTGGGCTGCCGCGCTCTTTGCCCTCCGGCACTGGAGCAGGTGGTCCCTGGGTCTTTACATCTCTGCTGAGTCTTCTGGTTACTCTCTGCTTCTCCTGTTGGACATCCCCATCACCCACCTTCAAATCATTGATTCTTCCACCTGATCTACTTTCGAGCACCTTCACTGAACTGTGAAACTTGATATTACGCATCTCAGCTCCAGAATGCTATTGGACTTTTTAAAAGATTTGTATCTCTGTCTCATTATAAATACTTTGCACTTGCAATGTCCGATGCTTTTCTATTTTTTAATGAAGAAATTGAATAATTTATTACTTATTTTGCTGTAAAGCTAATTGTTTAACCAGTAAAATAGAGCCAGAAAATACAGTATCCTGCACAATTTAGATAGCATTGTTCTTCATCTGTCCCTGTTCAGCTAAGACAGTTTTTTTCCACACCCTGCAGTTTCCAGTTCGATGATCATTAAATATCTTGACCTAAATCCATAGACACAAGAAAGCAGATAAAAATATTATGTAAAGCTTGTAACAACGTTATCTGTGAAATATATCATCTTTTATAAACAGTTGTACCACTGATAATCCCATGAAATCTTTGTGGTGTTTGTGGTGTCCTTGATCCCTTCTGGCTCCTACAATCCTTCCTCTCCCTCTTCTGAAGGATCCCCTGAGCTCCAGCCAATGTTTGACTTCGGATCTCTGCACCTGTTTCCACCAGCTGCTGGGAGAAACTCTCTGATGACAGCTGGACTGAGCCATCAGTCTATGAGTCTATCAGTCTAGAGCAGATATCATTAGGAATCATTACACATGTTTAGCTCTGTACTAGGTCTCTGGACTGTGCAGCCTCTGAGTTCTGAGGTCAACCTGTCTTACAGAATGAGTTTCAGAGATATACAGAGAAACCCTGTCTCAAAAAGAAGAAAAATACCCACACACAAAATTGGTGACTTGGCCCTTTATGTTCCTTACTTGTTTGTTTACTTATTGTGTATGTGGCCAATGTGGTGTGCTTGTGTGTCTGCATGTTTCCATGACATGGGCACTAATGGGCAGGATGTTATGTGCAAGCATGTGCACAGGCATGTGGAGCAGAGTCGAGGTCTGAGTTGATGTTTTCTCCATTGCTCTCCATCTTGTATGTGGACGCAGGGTCTCATATGTGGACCCAGGGTGACTGATGTGACAGTCCTGGGAGCCAGCTTGCCCAGGCACCCCCATCTCCACTTCCTGAGTGCTTGGATTACAGGCTGGCTGCCATGCCCACCTGGCGCTTCTTTGAGTGCTGAGGATCTAAACTCATGAGTGCATTCCCTGCGCAGCCATCTCCCCACCCACCCACTGGATGAAAACCGAATGTTTTGAATATTCCAGAATGGTAATTCTAAAATTCAATTTTTCTCTTCTCCCTGGGGTTTGTTGCTGCTGCTGATTTTATTTAACGACTTTTGCAAATGGATTTTCTAATGTCGACATTCTTTGCCATTTGCGGCCACTCATGAGACTGGAGGTTAGCCAGAGCCTAGGCCCTTACCAGGCCATCCCTAAACCCAAATGCCTTTTCAGATTACCAGGAAATTCACGTGAACTTTCCAAAGTCTTTTTGTGGGCCTCTCACTTCCCAGCCTTTTCTCCCTAACTCTTTGTTTGTGCCAGCTGCTATCTGTCAGCTCAGGCAGTGGCAAACAAAACATTTACCTGTGAATACCCTTCACTAACGCCTCCCTCCATTCCAGTAGCTTTTGCACTGGGCCACTTCCAAACCAAGAGAAATAAAGATAAGCCTTTTGTGCTGGCTTTCCAAGGAGTCGCCAAGTGAGTTTTTAAAAAGAAACTAATTATTACTCTTTTAAAATGAAGTCTATTCTGTCCTGCTGGTGCTGGGAATTCAGGCTGTTCTCCATTACAATGCTGCTACCTAGAGCTAGGATGGATGTTAAAGTTAAAAAAATACCAACCAGTTCACAGCTGACCTCAATTTCCAGAGTTTTCCTTTAAAAAACACTTTCTAGCCAGATGGTGGTGGCACATGCAGTCAGTCCCAGAATTCTGGAGGCAGAGGCTGGTGGATCTCTGAGTTCAAGACCAGCCTGGTCTACACAGAGAAACCCTGTCTCAGAAACAAACAAGCAAAACACTTACTGGTGACTGTAAGCCTCTGGGTAACTTCGTGTGTGTGATGGCAGCTGTGTCTCTGCTCTAGAGAGCACAGTGGTGCCTTCAGAGGGCAGAAGAGGGCCTCAGACCCCCTAGAACTGGAGTTACAGATGGTTGTGAGCTGCCAAGTGGGAGCTGGGAATTGAACCCAATTCCTCTGGAAAAGCAGCCAGTGCTCTTAACCATTAAGTCATCCCTCTAATCCCAGAGAGATCTAGAAAGCTGATTATGAAGGCCTGGGCCTCTTTGCTTGGTTACGGAGCAGAGCACTGGAGTCCTCGGCTCACTACCTGCATAGACTCTCTCCACTCTGAATGCACTGGGGTCCTCGGGTCACTACCTTCATAGACTCTCTCCACTCTGTATTCCTTTTGATTGGTGCTTGACAAAGTAACAAGTTTGTAAAACTGATATTCTACTAAAGAACTAGAAACACCATCCAGCTTTGCTTTAGAATGCTTGAGTGAGTTTTTTAAGAAAGACTGATGCGGGCCGTGTGAAATGACTCGGTAAGTAAAGGCACTTGCCTTAGTGTCTGCAGTTCAGGTCCTGCAATCTCACTGTAGAAGGAGTAAACCAGCTCCTGAAAGTGGCCCTCTGTGGTCATGCTGTAGCACGCCCCTCTCCCCCGTGCAAAATAAATAAATATTTTTAAATTACAACTTAAAATTTGCATTTTATTTTATTTTACTTTATTTCAACACAGGTTCTCATGTCGCCCAGGGTGAATTTCAACTTGTTACATGGCCAAAACTAACCCTCAACTCTTTTTTTCCCTAGCATAATATTTTTATTAATTATTTAGAATGTTCATACAATACACCCAGATTACACTCACTTCCCATTCCTCCTACATCCGCTCTCCCAGCCGTCTTCCCCTCCCCAAAGAAAAATACATCAAGTCTAATTTTTATTGCCCCTATACTCACTGGAGCAAACTCCCTGGCAGCCCCTTAAAGAAAACTGAGTCTTTTCCCCGCCCCCTGACTCACCCCAACCCCCAGAAGTCATCAGCTGTGAAGAACTGCAGTCAGCATCTGTATCACCATTTTCAAGGACTCTCTTCCACAGCTTCCTGTCTGGACTGTTATTTTTGTCTTCCCTTGGTTGAGGGGATTGTCACAGCAGCCTTCAGCGTCTCTCATTCTCAGTTATGAGTCCGAGTCATCAACACCACTGCAAAAGAAGCTTCCCTGCCCATAGCTGCTGGCGGCAGCACAGAATCCAGGCCTCAGCATGGCTTCCAGCGGCTGCACAGACCACAGACATCAACATGGCTACCGGCTGCAGCCCTGATCACAGACATCCACACGGCCTTCGGTGGCAGCACGGATCATGGACCTCAACATTAACTTTCAACTCTTAATCCACTTGGCTCTCTCTGCCAGAAGTGCTAGGACTATAGGCTTGTGCCACCATGCAGCCATACTAACAAAAGGTCAGCTCTCCCCAGTGAGGGCATCAACAACAGACCAAGGAGTCTATCGGGGCTTCCTACAAGAGCATGGTTGATTACTTATAGGATCATGGACAATTTGTGAGTAGCTGCACCACCTAAGCATCTCTTTCCACCATCCACCACTAACAGTTTATGCATCTTCGGGTGTCCAGGTGGGAGGTGGAAGGAGCAGGGCCTCAGGAATGTTCCGGGGCTCAATTTTGTCCTTGTCTCCTCCAGGTAATTACGGCTGCTGTCAGTTTAAGAGGGATGTCTTACTTAGGGTTTCTGTTGCTGTGAAGAGATGCCATAGGATCAGCAACTCCTAGAAAGGAAAACATTTAACTGGAGTGGCTTATGCCTATTCTTTCTCTGCCCAGGCACTGGCTGCTCAGCTCTTTATTAGGCCAATCAGGTGCTTCTGGCAGGCAAGGTAAAACAGTTTTCAATAATTAAACAAATGCAACATAAACAGAAGTAACACACCTTTACACAGTTGGAGTAATGGTCTGCATCATAAATAAATGTAACACATCTTTGCCTGGTTAACGTAACAGTCTACAACAAAGACCCAACAAACCCTTTCTTCTCTGTTGCTTTGGCCGTGCCTCTTTACAGCAACAAAAAAGTAACCAAGACACAGGGTCTGTAACCAAGTCAGGTTCTTGGCCACGACTTCCCTTCAGTGGCCTGATTAGCACTTTCCAGAGAAGAGGCTTCCAGCTGAGACCCAGCTTGATTTCTTCATACTAAGGCATATGACATCTTCAGCAATAGGGTCTTCAGTTTTCTGATTTCTGTAAGCAACTTTTTAAAAATATTTAATAAGGTTTTGTTTCCACAAATGTACAGCAGATTGAACCTGTTCATGCATCTTCACCAGCAGCTGGGGCATGTCCAGCCTTTATGCTTCTGGTGTACCTGTGAGCATCTTTTTTTTGACTGTGCAGGGTACTTTTTTGTTGTTGTTGTTGGTTTTTTTTTTTTTTTGAGACAAGGTTTCTCTATGTAGTTGTGGCTGTTCTGGAACTCACTCTTAGACCAGGCTGGCCTCGAACACACAGAGATGGCCTGCCTCTGCCACCCGAATGCTAAGATTAAAGGCATGTACCACCACCGCCCAGCAAAATTGATTCTTTTTTTTAAAAAAATTATTTATTTATTATGTATACGGTGTTCTGTCTGCATGTATGCCAGAAGGCCAGAAGAGAGTTCTGAATCTCATTACAGATGGTTGCAAGTCACAATGTGATTTCTGGGAATTGAACTCAGGACCTTTGGAAGAGCAGCCAGTGCTCTTGACAGGTGAGCCCTCCCTCCAGCCGGGTACTTTTAATAAAAATTCAATCATTGTTTTAACATTTAGAGGCACAGGCTGTTATAGGATTTTATTCATTCCCCTTCTGAGGTGGCATTTGCATTTTACCAGACTGTAACATTCCCAGAAATTTTACAGCTGGGGCTTCCTCGTGCACCTTTTGTGCAATGATTGTCCAACCTCATTTCTCTAGGTAGACTTCCTCATCTTTCAGGTACTTTTCTACATCTGTTAGGCTCTCAGAGTTTAGCATACAGTGGCTGTGGGTGAAACCTTTCATAAAGGGTGAGCAAAGTCTCTGAAGGCCACTACCCATCATTCCAAGCAAGCGCCAGCTGGTCACAGCAGTCAGCAGCTAAATGAGACTAAAGAGAACAATGTTAACAAGTCCAGTCTGGCCGGGGTAGACTCCATCCCTTGTATCAGCTGCCTACTCAGAAAAATCAATGTTGTGGGACTAGAGAGACAGTTGGACAGTTAAGAGAGCGTGCTGCTCTTGACGATTTAGATGCAATTTCCAGCACTCACACCAGGCAGGCCAGGCTGCAACCACCTGGAACTCGAGTTTCAGGGGACTTGATAACCTCTTCTGGCCATGTGAGCAGCTGCAATTACATAGTTAGTTATATATATATATATATATATATATATATATATGAATACTTACATACAAAATCAATCAATCAATGATAGACCCCGTGGCACAGGAGAGAGGCACTGCCACCAGCCATTATGTAACTGCCCCCTTCCAAAGACCTTGGTAGTGCCAGCCCAAGCTGCTCTGATTGGCTCAGAGCCAAAGGGAAGTAGGACCACAGACCTACACGTCAGACTTACCATGCTTGCTCAATGAAATGGTTCCCCCAAGTCTGTCAGGCTCTGGGCTGCTGCTGTGGAGTAGATATTGGGGATCCCTTACAGGAGTGTGGGTATTTATGGGCAGCTATAAGAGCCTTTACCCATCCCAAATAGCCATTAAAACACACCATCACCTGTTGGGAGCAGTGAACCTCCAGATCCTGAATTTCTTGTAAACAACGTGTTATGCTTGCAGCTGCTCTGAGCACAAGACCCTCAGGCAGGGGAGTGGTTTCTGGTGGGTTTGGCTTGGGCATGGCTATCAGTTAAGGATCCCTATATAAGCTGCCCTGGAACACAATAACGGGGGCATTCCTGTTTCAAGGATGATCCGTGTCTCTGTGTGTTTAAATCTCCAAGCCCTAGACCGGCTCGCGAATGGTCCTGAAGTGAAGGTGCCGCAATACAGGAGTAGTTCCATCGTACACGTAGTACAGGTGGGCATTACAACCACAATCACCACCACCACCTTCTCTCTCCTGAGGAGCAGCAGGGGCTAATAAGACTCTCCTCCCAGCTACCATTAGCTGTTTACATATCCTTGGGAGGAGTGAGACCCCATGAGCCTCTGCTATCTGACAGATCATCAATGGAGCCAATCATGTGTAGGTCTCCTGCAGATGATTATAGCTGCTGATAGTAGAAGGGGCAATGCCTACGTCATGCCTTGAGAATAGTATTCCACACACAACACATGGCCAGCAAACATGTTCCTTACAGACAGCAAGTGCTGTTGCATGTGTAAGTCCCTCAGGTTTCCTGCAAGACACAGTTCCTTGCTAGACAAGTTGTCAAAGGACTCTGCTCATTTGACTAGGAACCCGCCATTGGTCCCTTAGCAGCTCATCTGTCTAGCTCTCACACACTCTCCCCACCCCCTTTTTTGTCATCATTAACTTGCCCTGAGGTCAGAGGGTAACACCTACAGCTTGAGGCTCTCAGTTCCAAATCCTTTTCCAGGGATCTAAAGGAGGGTTCGAATGCTTCCTGATAATTGCCAAAGGTGTGGAAGGCCAGGTGAGTGAGGGACAGATGGGGCTGGAAGCCTACCAGCCCCACCTGTAGCTATGGGATGGGCAGAAGGGCATTTGTAAACTAGCAACCAAAGGAAAAGTCCAACCTCAATATTCATCCAAAGATGGCAGGGGTGTGGGCCTTGACTCCGCAGAAAAGAAATGCGATCTGAGGCAGACTGCAGCACAGAAACCAGACAACAGAATCCCGTAAGAAAGAATCTGGTCCCCAGATCCTATGGGCTCCGTGACTCCCTGAAGTGTTTGGAGTGGGCAAGTCTGTCAAGAGAGGAACTGGATGACTGGGTTCTCTGTCTCTGCGGGTGAGGCAGAGACGAGTGGAGACCGACACAGGGCTGGGGTGAGATTGGAAAGTGTGCTGGATTATGGGGATGATGTCAAAACTCTGTGACTAAATGAAAAGCAACAATAAAACAGAAAGCAACGGAACTTTAGAGTTTGTGTGGGTGCATTTTGTTTTCTGTAGTGTGTGGCAATGGAGGGCTTTAGAATTGGGGGTGGAGGGAGGGTAATAGAACCCATGTGATAGTAAAGTGAGATGGGGGTAGTAGAAGGCCTATTTAGGTAGGGTGGGGCATGAAGGCCTTCTGCCTTCTCTCCTTCTATCAGTGGTTTAATTTAGGGCACCATTTTTCTTTTCTTAAGAGAAAAGGTGCACTTGGATAAATGACCCACCCTGTCTCTTTTTGGTGGAAATAAGCTCACAAGGTAAACTGTGGGGGGGAGCTAAGTAAAAGTTGCCCAAGGAAAAGAAGGGGTAATATTTACAAAATGTGCAGTCACATCAATGGTACTATTTAAACAGCCCCTGTCAGTCAACACTCCCACCAACCTTTCCTAACTCTGTAGAGTCTAAGAGTGGTAGCGACGGAGGCAGCAGCCAGAAAATCAGAGTTGGCCTCAAAAACTCTACACCTCACACTCACAGGCCTCTTTGGAATCCTCCCAAGGGACATCTCAAAAACACAGTAGCTGATCCCACGCGGGAGCTCAAAAGGCCCCTCGAAACACGCAGGTGTTTCCTGGCTGTCATTTCTAAGACCAAATGATAACTTTCTTTAAAAATTCTCGCTTTAGTTAATCTCCACACAGGACCAGAAAATTGTGCTGCCACTGTGAACCAGGAGCAGACTGTGTCGGTTTCCCTCTGTCACAGCATCACCGAAGCATGTGAGTCTCATCTGCTAGGTCTTGGGATTGGCAAGGCATGAGCAGGCTTCTTTGGGTTAAGAAACTTTCCACTCAAAAGGATAAGTTTGTGTTAGGACCAAACCCCCTTCTGACCCTGAGGCTGCTTCAGCTTCCTCTATGCCTGCAGACTATATCCCTGCAAGATTTCCTGAGAGGAGAAATTATCACACTGTGGTTAGAGAAGAGGAAAGGAAAGGAAATACATCATCTCCAGGTGACCCTGGACCCACCCAACTCTTCTCAGCTACAGCAAAAGTAACTCCTAGGGCCATGCAAGCAAAGCAGCCACAAACTAGAGATGTCAGGGACTGCATTGCTCAGGACAATGTCCACAACGGAGTGCTCATACAATGGGGGTGTCGGGTACTGCATTGCTCAGGACAATATCCACAACGGAGTGCTCATATAATGGGGGTGTTGTTTCTCTGTCTATGGAGGCCTGTACTAGCACATTTTTCACTCATATCACAAAATAGCTGAAGTAAGGTTGAAATGCCTAGTTATAACTACAGCCCATGAAAAATAACACACATAGGTTTTTGGGAAAGGATCACACCTTGAAACAGGAAGCTAGAGAGCCTTGGCACACCCCCAAAATCTGAGTATCTTTTCATGGCCATCATTCTTAAAGGTTTCATCACCTCCTAATCCTGAGGGCTAAGGCTCACTACATGAACCTCTGGGAGCATTCAATCCACATTCAATCCTGGTACACAGGAACTTGAGATAACTTGACCATGTTAAAATGAACTGCTGTGTAACAAACCACCCTTGGCTCCAGTGGTTTCAGAAGCAGACGAGCTGTGGGTGCAGAACTCAGGCATGGTGCATTTGAGTGCCAGCCAGGCTGCAACTGGCAGAGATTCTATACCCTTCACACTCTGGTGGCTGTTGGGAGCCATTAATTCTTTGACAGTCATTGGT